AATGGTTTTAACTCAAAAATCAAGATGAAAGATAAAAATCGCTAAATATTTTCGCATGTGTGAAAATGGGCATGTGGATCATATTTCAAAAGGGAATATGCAAATTTGTCCGTGAGTGAAGAGATCTCAAGTTCCATGGAATCTATCAATAGGAAGCAAGACTAAAATGGCCAAGAAATATTTCGGGACGTCAGATTTATTCAAAACAGTTTTTGATTTGCTGTTATAAGCGAAAAACGTACGAATTTCTTACGTGTACAAAGCCCACGCGGTAAAATTCATCATGCTTAGATCGTTGTTTACTTGCCTTCATGGCCAGAAATTGCGCAGCGTTATGTTGAAAATTCTGAAATAACTTCGATTTGAGGCAACATCTTCTATTAAACTATACTTTTTGAACACATTGTTACTCGACCATAATCTTTACCGGACCATCGAATCGCCAAATTGTCACCAGGCCTTGCTTGAAGTCCGAAAGTTCGGTTGTCACTTCACGTCCATAATTCGCATCCCCTTAGAGAATCGTAGTGTCGTTGACTCGAGAGCTAATTCTGTCACCTTTAAGACCTGAATATCCATTCTTTTCTAAGCAGAGTATTCTATAGCATTGTTACTTTACATTCGGAATTCCACAAGGTCTAACTCGATCGCAAATGAATGAAAAATCCGACCTGAAAATTTTGAGGGTCGGCCTTGAGGACGCCATATTATCAAATTTGATCATTTAGTGAAGACGCATAGAATAATACCCCTCTAGTACCCCCTAAAGTCGACAAAATATAGGCGCAAACGACGGATTCTGATTGGCTTATTGATCTCCAAACTGTAGAGGAAGTTTAGGGGGGACAAAACTCTACTTAGTAGGGGAGGTAGGGGGGAAAGCGTTCTCGCGCGAGGCGATCGCGAGGTTCGGGCGGTTACGGGCGGTTCAGGTGTCAATGTGTTTAAGCAGTTTCTGGTATGTAAGTTCATCAAACAGGCAGCAGCAGTCCTAGTCAGTTAATTTGTAAATAATTACTAATATGTTTCTGATATTCATTTTCACCCACTTGATGTCAGAGTCTCAAAATCATTATTGTATGTTGAATGATGGTTATTTTGTTTTGTTTTGTTTTGTTTTTTTTCCCTTTACTAGATGCGAACTGCACTGATACGAAACCTACAACCAAACCAGCCCAGCATGCTTTTGCTTTACAGAACTTCATACAAAGTACAACGTCAGCCCCAAGCACAGTTAGGGTGGAGATGACAGAGTTTACTTCTACAAAACAAACATCCCCTCCCCAAACTAACAGCACTGAAACTGAGCTACCACCTGATGAAACAGAGTTTGTAGATCAACCAGATGTTGGTGCCAGTAAGGGACAAAGGGAGAGCCCTTCCAGTACAAATGGTAAACATCATTGCATGCATCGATCTTTTTAAGTAGACATCCATGCCAACAAATTACAGGCTGTTTGCTGAAGGGGGGAGGATTTACACATTGAAAACAGATAAGGAGGCAGAACTATAACAGAACATTTCAACATTTTCAAATCTAGCCAATGAAATGATGAATACAAATCAAACAAGTATGCACTTGTTTATGGACTGCTAAAATTTACAAATGAAGGTTGGCACTGTTAAATGTTTAGTTAATTCAAACTTGTGGTGGTTTTGATTCTTTGCAAGCAAGGCTTTGAAGATCATAAAATGGAAGAATAATTTGCTACATTCATTTGACTCCTATAAAAGGTTATTAACTGACACTGAAATATCAGTGATACAAAATTCATATTTCATTTTTAGCCAACATGTTGGGAACAGCAAACGCCATGTTCATAGTTGAATTTGGTTCTGTATGGGCAGC